TAGAATAAGATTTTACTCTATTCTTGATAATTAAAGAATGTTTGTTTGATGACGACATGTAATACAGTCATAAATCTGGGCAATAGATGATCTTTTCTTCCCAAGGAGAAAAGAAATAAAACAAAACTTATGGAAATTCTTTTTTTTTTTTTAAAGAGAGAGAAAGAGCTCTGGTGTATACATGCAAGAGCAAACAGGGGAGGGACACAGAGAGAGGGAGAGAGAGATACTTAAGCAGCCTCACACCTAGCATGGAGCCCTGTATGGGCTTTGTCCCACAAGAGTGAGCTCATGACCTGAGCCAAAATCAAGAGTTGGATGCTTAACCGACTGAGACACATAGGTGTCCCAAAACCCACTGAAGTTCCTTTACGTGGGTTCATTATTACTGTTGTAGGCATCTATCACAATACTACATTCAAAATTAACTTTGGTTGGATGTAGTTTAAGCTACATGAAGAATATTCACAACATACCTCAAAAAAAAATGGTTTGTATATATAAGTAAATCACTAAATAATGCTATCATTGCATAGAAAAATCATATTTTTCTATGAATTATTTTTCTATTTCTGTATTATGTTATATAAAGTTATTTAGTAAAGAGATTCTAAAGGGAAAGTCTAAGACCTAAAAGACATATTTACCATTTTTTATTCTTTGTTAATGAAATAGATCTGTAAAGAGACTTCACCCATAGGAGCAAGTGGCTTCTTTATAAGAATTGTAGAATCCTGGATTCTTAGAAAAGTATTCATCAAAGTAAAAATTGCATGAAAGTTCAAAAAGCAAGAAAGACTTTATTCAAAACTATTGAAAAAGAAGAGAGAGATGGAACTCAACTTTTCTGAAACAAGACAGGAAAGATCTTAAGTGCTGGTATTAGCTAGGGAAAAAGTACTGGAGAAAATTAAGGGGTCTAGACATTGATGAATGAAATGTGTAAAGCACATTCATTGAGCTATCCTTGAGTTTGCAAGGGTTTTGGTTTGTTAGTAGGCTTTCGGTATTTGCTAGCTAGTCCCCATTGCAGTTAGGAAAATATTGAAATAATTAAATTTGGGAAAAGTCTTTCTTATTACAACTTTTAGTGTCCCTCTGTCTCTTCCACATTATTTTAAAAGCATTCTCTGTCACCAGTAACTCATAATAATTTGTAATCTCATAACCTTTTTGTAAGAAGTGTGTAAAAAAAATAAGCTCACTTCTTTTTATGTGCTTTCTTTCCAAAAGTGTTTGTATTTAAAAGGGCATGTAGAGAGGACATTTTTTAACACAAAGAAAGGAAAAAAATACCTTTAGAATTTCAGTCTTTGATGATGAGAACTCAAGTGAACCAAATTTTTGTCCTATATTTAAAAATACTGAGATATATATATATATATAGTAACTTACTCTTTGCTCGATGAAATACTTTTTCTTGAAAAGTATCACTATGAACCAACTAACATAAGCTATTTACCAAGCACAACAGTTTGTTCATCAATCTTACTTTAAGATCCTCTTCTCATTATGTCCAGTAGTACAAGGTTTTATTCATGAACTCTAACAGTCCTTACAAGTACTCCATCCCCTGCAAGGAAAGCTCTAGGGCATATTAACATCTTTTCATAAATTCTCCTTTCTGAGACACTAGTAAGACTGACTCTATTAGGTGATGTTTTCCATTATTGTGGTAAATCTAAGAGAATTGGTTTCTCTTGATGAACAGAACTGTCTGGTGGTCTTTTGGAGGATCAGCAGTGAACAAACACAAACTTATGCAAATATCTAATTAAAATACCCTCATTAACCAAGTTCACGATTCTAGACTGCAAGTGGTGCACTATTCTGGGACCACTGGACATTTGTCTCTCCAACTGTGACAGTGACATAGGTATAGTATTGGGTCTAATTATTTTTATCACATTCCCAAATGCTATTTATTTTTTTTCCTCTTAAGAATAAGAAAACAATTTAGTAATCCTTTGATTATGTGATCCAATTTGATCCAGAGAGAAAGGAGATTTCTTTCAACATCACTTCTTCTGCTGAGTCTGAATATGTCTATCATAAGAGGACAAGCATTGCTCCCACAATGTCATCATCCAGGTGACCTAAATAAACAATGAGTTCAGAAAGTCACAGGAATCTGTATTCCTTGAACAAATATTTCCTGAGTCAACTTTTCAAAATCTTGTAAAAAACTTTGTGTGGCTATCAGTTTGGACTGACTGGTTTTTGGTAGTTTTGGAGACATGACATTGAACAGGCACCTATGTTAAGTTTTCATGGGGCCTTCTCAGTTTCATAGGCTTCAACACCACACATCCCTCCCTTCATATTGTAAGTCAGGTACATATCTCTGTAATTGCTATAATTTCTCAAAGGACAATCTGAAATTGCAGTGGTCACTCTGGGGAAATTTTGACATGAACAAGATTGTTCATTTGACAGATACATTAGAACGAAAAGAGAAAAACTCTCATGAGGAGAAATTCCGTCCTGTGTGTCTAATAGAGAGATTACTCTGTTTAATGCACAAGAACCCCTCTTTCATTTTCATACTTCTGGGATTAATAAGTACTAGATTTTAATTATATGGTCATATTGAATTATAAGGATGTGAGTTATTGTTTAAACTATCTGGAATAATAACATGTGTGTGTATGTGTGTGAAAATGAGTTTTTTCTCCATTTAAGCATCTACTGGTCTTTGAAGATAGAAGATAATTAACCTTTAACAACTAAGTCATAATTTTACATTTGCCTGAAGATAACTCCCTTCATTTCTTTATTTGTGCTCTTTCTTCCTTTCTTTTTTGCTGTGAAATTTTTAAAATTAATTAATCATAAATAAATTTTCTATCATTATATGTACATTCTAAGATTGTTGTTCAGATTAACAGTCAAAAATGAAAGGAAAAGGAAAATGATTAACTGTACCTCATTTATATGTTTTTCCTTTGCCAAAAATTTAACAAAGCAGAAAATGTGTACCTGGTGTGTAATATAATTAGTCTTTTAGATGAAAAGAAAATTACACCCTTAAGAGTTTGAGCATAAATTCAAAAGTCTTGATTTTTTAAATATATGAACACCGAGGTTCACTTATATTAAAAAGAGCTTATGTAATTTCCCAATAAATAAATTAATACTTAGGCATTTTAGATTGATTTAATATAACTTTTAGGGAACTGGTCTATCATTGTTTCTTTAGATTATTTATGATTATAAAAATATTAAATAGAAATAATTGAAATTTTAATAATGGATATCTTTTAAAAGGGTTTAGTATTGTGAATTCTTATTGATTCTACTATGGCTATTTGTTTTTGTTTAGTTTTCTTTTTTTTTAATTTTATTTGAGAGAGAGTGAGAGAGACAGAGAGAGAGAGAGAGCCCATGAGTAGGGGAGGGGGCAAAGGGAGAGACAGAATCTCAAGTAGGCTCCATGCTCAGTTCAGAGCCCGATGTGGGGCTCCATCCCACAACCTTGAGATCTTGACCTGAGCTGAAATCCAGAGTTGGAGGATCAACCAGCTGAGCTACCCAGGGTTCCCTGATTCTACCACGTTTATGTACTAGAATTTTTTACTGATGATACTACAAAACAAAAAAGCTTAACATGATGGTGCAAATTGCAATTTCCAAATCTTTGGTTAACATTAAGACCTTACACTGACATTAAATTGAATAACAAATAATCATTGGACACCTGAACAATGTTTGCATAAGAAAAAAATAAATATACAAATATTAATCCCTGAATATAATTTTATTTTATGTTTTAAAGTTTATTTATTTATTTTGAGAGGGAAAGAAAATGAAAGAGAGCATGAGCAGTGTTGGGGCAGAGAGAGGGAGAGGGACAACTCCATACAGGCTCCTCACTGTCAGTGCAGAGCCCAACGAGGGGCTCAACAATCCACAAACTGTGAGATTATGACCTGAGATGAAACCAAGAGTCGGACATCTAACCAACTGAGCCACCCAGATGCCCCAAAGAGTCTCTAAATATAATTTTAAATTATCCGTTTCCTTACAGAATGAAAAATTGAGACATGAAAATGTTGTTAAATGATGTATATTTATGTTTATATATGTATATTTATGTTTATTTTGCCTAACATAAAAGTTGTCAAAGTTTTATAAAATGTGTGATCATGAAAAAATAAAATAGCTAAAAGTTATTGGATTGCTATCTTTGTGTTTTCTCTTGAGTCTAAAAAAACTAATATGTTACTTTATTTGAAGTTGGTAATTATTTTCTTTTTTTCAAGTTTATTCATTTATTTTGAGAGTCAGAGAGAGCATGCAAGCGGGGGAGGGGCAGAGAGAGAGGGGACAGAGGATTAGAAGCTGGCTCTGTGCTGAGAGCAGAGACCCTGATGCGGGGCTTGAACTCAAACAAAAAGGTGACATAATTATAACTGTTTGAAAGGCTTTAAACAGTAAGCAAATTGTAGCGTAAGTGGAAATAGAAAGACTAGAGATACAATGATAAAGCTCTTTATTACCTGTCTATATTGTAAATACAAAAAGTGGTAGGCAGTTAGTTAGGCGTGAGCAAGGAGGGATAAAGCAGATACTGACCACAGGCTAGCAGCCACCCCCTGAGAGTTAAGAACCATACCTTCAGAGCCTCCTCTAAGAGCTAACAGAACAAGAAAGACCCAGCCACAGAGCTGGCTCAAAAGCCACAGGAGGACATCCAAGAGCCGAGCATGTGCACAGAAGATGCAACTTGCCCTTACAGTGACAGTAAATTCTCATTAGAAACTCATACAATGCGTAAATAAATACAATTATAACAAAAGACACCATGGGCAGGCATGTGTGCAGAAGGCACAATGTTATATAACCACCAACTGTCCATCAAAAATCTCAATCCATATGAGGTTATATTTAAGCTACACACATCCTGAACACTAAATTTGAAAATTTAACCACTTTAGATTTTTTTTTCCAATAAGAATATTATGATCTAAAGAGACAAATGAGGGACTATCTTATCTTACCTCCATTGTTCCCTGATATAGAAAACAAGATATATAACCATGATCTTCAGATGTGTTCACAGAGACAGCATCTTCAGTACAGTTTGCAGAGAGAAAGAAGTAGGTATCAACAACCACTTCACATTCTTCATCTTCAGATTCTTTCAAAGAGATGAAAAATTGGATAATCTTTCATAAAATTAACTTTACATTAAATTAGTAAAGACAGTAGTCAGGGGTGCCTATGTGGCTCAGTCAGTTAAGCATCCAACTTCAGCTCAGGTCATCATCTCACAGTTTATGGGTTCTTCCCCATATTGGGCTCTGTGCTCATGGCTCAGAGCCTGAAGCCTGCTTCACATTCTGTGTCTCCCTCTCTTTCTGCCTCTCCCCTACTCACGCTCTGTCTCTCTCTGTGCCTCAAAAATAAATAAATAAATAAACGTTAAAAAAAACCAAAGTTGTCAAATTACTTGGTAAGATCAATTTGAGAACACCTACCACAAAATAAGCTTCTATATGAATAGAATATTAAATTTGAAAAAGACCTAAGGTAGAATAAGGCCGAACTCTCATTTTTAAAGATGGACTGAGCATCAAAACAAGACACAGCTTCCACTTGTGTATTTTTAAATAATTAAGTGTCAAATAAATTTCCAATTAATGATTATAAAGATAATTTAATAAATATAAATATTATACATTTTGTATAAAATGCACTTTTATTCTTTATATGCCATAACTGCATAAGAAATCATTTCAAAAGATATTTGGAAAACATTCTTAAAATATTTATAATAGAAACATCATTAGCATTTCATCGTAGCCCTCTCATTAGAAAGAAGGGAGTGTGTTTGTGAGAGTGGGAGAGTGTCAGTATAGATATATACATACATACATACAGATACATATATAATTTAGCTACTTTGAACTCTGTTAGACATAATATCTGTGATACAGTAAAAAAAGACATTGCAAGAAAGCAAAACAATGTGACCTATATTCAAGTGGAAACAGTAAAAACAGATGACCCAGACATAGAATTATATCAAGATTATAAAATATCTATGATAAATGTGTTGAAGTATCTATAGAAAAAGATTAATATAATTGGTAAACAGAGAATAGGGGAATGAGAGATTTAGAAACAAAATCTAAACAAACAGACAAACAAGATATCCCAGAATTGTGGAGAGAAAGGAACTAATTATGCTGGGATTAGAACCTACTATTTTTTAGTAATGATGTACTATTCTCAGGTACTGAAACAGCATTAGAGACTGGATATAGTTTCTTTTTAAACATAACTAACCTACTAGTAGATAATATTTGTCCTCAGAATCCTAGCAAATAGTCCTGTTTTGAATTACTTATGGTTAACAAACCTAAAATCTATTGTTTGTGAGGCATGACTTCCCAGGAAATATTATGTAGGCTATAGAATTTACAACTGAATTGTAAAGTAGAGATGGTTCACAAGCTGAAATCTTCCTGCCATGTGAAAACTTAGACATCTCATATGTAACTCTGGATAAGAAGAAGCTAGGAAGCCTTGCAGAATGTTCCAAACATTTTCAACCTTACAAAGTAATTTAACTGCTAATAATTTTAAAATTATAAAAATTATTACTAAATTAGTCATAAAATAAATAAAATTTTCAGTGTTTTTCCTTACGGAAAGATATTTAAAAACTATTCAATTACTTCAGAACTTGTGCAATTATTCAGATTGTATATGTATTATTGAATCAGTTTGTCAACTAGTGTTTTTTTATGAATTTATGTATTTCATTTAAGTTGTCCAATTTATAGACACAGAATTTTCTATAATGATGTATCTGATTAAACATTTGGATTTGACTGAAACATCATCCCATCTTCTTCCCAAAGCCTCAAAATGGAGGTAACGGAAAATAAAACAAAAGTGCTAATTCACATAGAATGAGAAGGGAGGCAAAGTTGAGCAAATACTGTTTTTTGAGCCAATGTTTTCAGTAAATTTCAAGAAGCTGAAGAGATGGTGGGAATATAGTAACTAAATTAGCAGAATGGAAATAGTCTAAAATCTAATTACAGGGCATACTTATAAAAAATCAAATTTTTCTACTTAACAGAAATCTTAAGATTTTTAGGACTTAAAGATGTCTGAGAAAGTAGTCCTGGGTTTCTGGCTAGAGGGTGATTAGTTAACATAGCTTTTCTCTCAAATCACAAATGCAGATAATTATTCTGACCCATCACTCACCTCCCTGCTGGCCCACAAACAAATATTTCTCACTGTTAATTCTCAGGGGAAAAAGGATCTTCGAGGCTCCTGCCTCAAGGATACCAAGCTCATTAGGATTACCCCATTGAAGGGCCAGCTGTCAGCTTGCAAACCTCTTATAGAGCTGCCACTTATCAAAAACCATGTTCACATGGTAAACTTTCAGTAAGTCTTATTAGGTCACTGCCATTAAGTATGATCATCCAACATTTGGCAGAAAGATGCCAAATAAGAAAGAACAAGCCATTTTTAAAAATATTTACAGAAATTGAGACACTGAATGGAAGAGAACATTTTAAAACAAATCAAAACTATACTATTCTTCGAGTTATAAAAAGTTATTTTATCTGTACAAAAGAACAGAATGTCATGGTAATTTACAACTTTAGATAGTAGTAAAAATGTCTAGAGAAGTACCAAGATAATAAAAAGTAAACACTAGTTCTCATATATTTAATTGGAAGAGTGCAGTAGAAAATAGGACAAAGCAAAAAGAAATGGAAAAGATAAGAAATTATGAGAAAATGTGATCAATTCTGGAGATGCAATATCAACTTTTTGGACTTAGAATTATAGAAATAGGAAACAGAAAAGAAGAATTATTAATGACATACTACAAAGACTACCTAAAAACTGGAAGACACATGCTTCCAAATAAAGGGTTTATCAAGTGCTTACACATGAACAAGAATACAATCATGAGAATGTAAATTGGTGCAGTGGATATATGATCCAGTAACTCCATGTCTGAATATTTATCTAAAGTTAACAAAAATACTAACTTAAAATGATATACGCATCCCCATGATCATTGAAGAATTATTTACAATAGCCAAGGCATGGAAGCAATTGATGTGTCCATCAGTGGATGAATGGATAAACATGTGTGCTCATGCACAAACACACTCAACCATAAAAAAGAAGAAAATTGTGCTGTTTGCAATAACATCGATGGAACTTAAGGGCATTTGGCTAAGTTAAATAAGTCAGATACAGAAAGACAAATACAGTATAATTTCACTTATGTGTGGAATCTAAGAGGGGAAACAAACAAACATACTCATAGAAATAGAGAACAAATTGGTGGTTGTCAGAAGAGGGGAGTAGTGGATGGGTGAAAGAGGTAAAGGTGATCAAAATGTAAAACCTACACTTATAAAATAAATAAGTCTGGGGATGCAATCAATGTACAGCATGATGACTATAGGAAATCTTGTAAGTTCTCGTAACTATAAAATAATTATGTATGGCAATGGATATTAACTAGACTTACTGTGGTGACTGTTTTGCAATATATACAAATATAGAATCATTATGTTCTACATCTGAAACTAATATAGTATTATATGTCACTTATATCTCACTTATAAAAATTTATAATCTGCAACATAAGTCTCAACACAGTGAAATTTCAGAACACTGGGGCAAGGGACATAGAAAAAGGCTTCCAGGGAGATAATTATAAGATGAATATAAAAAATTAGGGGCTCATTCAGTTAAGTTTCTAACTCTTGGTTTTATCTCAGGTCATGTTCTCACGGATCATGAGTTTGAGCCCTGCATGGGACTGTCAGTGCAGAGTCGGCTTGGGATTCTCCCTCTCTCTCTCTCTCTGCCCTTCCCCTGCTCACTTGCTTGCTCTCTCTCTCTCCCTTTCTCTCAAAAGAAAATATTTAAAATACATAAAAAAGTCAAAAGGTGTCTTATTATATACACAATTGCACATTATTGCATGCCTTCCTTTCTTTTCCCTGTATCATATTTTTCATAGATTGTGATATAAGAACTAGGAGTATTGTATAATAATTTCTGTATCTGTGCTCATTTTTTTGCTCAATAGCCATTGATTCCAATTATAATCTTGGACATATATTATTTAGTATGTGGATAGGAAGCATGTGTGATGGGAATGCTAAGTCAAAAAGTATAAACATTTGTAATACTGATGGATATTGCAAAATTACCTTGCTCAGATTTTATAGTGATTCTACATTTCACATGCAATGCATAAAATCACTCAATTTTTTTTGCCAGATTTATTTATAAGGGAAAAATTATATATTTATTATGTTTTTAAAATTTGCTTTGTTTTCTGTATGAGTAAAGCTGAACACTTTCTCATACATTTAAGAATACTTTTTATGCCTCTGAACATTTTTTGTTTGTTTGCTGTTTGACTGCTTCTATGATGTCTTTCACAGATAATTTTGCTTGTATTGTAGTCAAGTGGCTAGTTTTTCTTCCTGACAACTGAATTTTGATTGGTAGCTATAAAAGTTCTTCCCCATCCAAATTTAAAAAGTAATTCTCCAATATTTTGCTGATATTTTTATCATGTAAATCTTTATATTTAAAACTTTATTGGTATGGATTTAACTCAGAGTAGGCTTAGTAAGATACAAATCAGACTTTTTTCCTCAGTTGATTATTGACTTGTTCAACCCCAATTGTTGAGTAATTCATATTTACCCTAATGATTGAGATGGAAATTTTATTAGATGTTAATTTTTCTTCATGAGTTGAATTTATATTTGGACGTTAGACTTTGCATATTTTTGACTATCAGTGGAACTGCACCATGCTCTTCATGGACAGAGAAATAGCAGCAGGTATTTAACAAAAGACGTAAAAGTGGAGCAGTATGGTAGTAAAAGGGACTTTTGATCAAGATTGCTTTGGAGATTCACTATTTTCCATTCTCCAAATAATCATTATAAAATTTAAAAGTCATTTAAATGAGTAGATTATAATTAATGTCTTATAATACTTTCTACCATAAATAAGAGCCACTACTCACAAAGAAAAAAGAGAGAATTTGAAGTACATATTGGTTTTTAAATACCAATTCACATCACAACACTAATTATTCACTTAGAAAAAAGAATACTTCACTATCACATATTAAATGTTGTAAATGTGTGTTTTAAATGTGGTTAACTAAGCTGTAATCATCACAAGCTTTAAAAGGAAAGGTATTCAGGGAACTTATCTCTTTATTTCTGCTATGATTTCATCTTTTCTTAACCATAATTCATATCATCTTATTTCACTTCACAACTCATTATCCACTCTGTCAGTATCTCCTTTTCTCAAACCTAATAACATACATAATGAACATAGATGATGACACTGAAAAGAAACAGTGCATGTCAGCTCTTTCTCAAGTTGTGCACTGTAGACCAATTGTCCTTGAAGGAGCTTCTCCTAATTAATTATCATCCCTTCTTTGTAAAGTAATCATATTGGCAAGAATTGATTGGGCGTGTAAGACACTTCATTTAGTTGGTAGAAAAATCTCTTAATTAAAATAATTTTACTACTGGTAAAATTAATGCACCCTGTGCAAATTTACCAGCTTGATTTTAATGTTCCTCTTCAATTTAATTGTATGAGAAGAAAAGGAAATGAGATCTTAAGAGCAACAAGCAGAAAAAAATAAGAATGGCATAAAACGTAATACTATTTACATACTTTTAAAAATTTATCCTAACTTCTTTTTTGTTTTGAAAACTTTACTGGGAGAAGTTGCTTGTTGAATCTTTGTACTGACATTAAGTAGGAATTGGGGAAGTTCTATTTATTGACTATTGAGTTTTATCTCACACTGGCTTCTTTAGCTTGGATAGCCCAAGTCATTTAGATTCTCAGATGTGGAAGACACATAATTCTTTTTTTTTGGTAATAATTAGCTATGTTCATTAAATTCTGAACATAGTTCCATGGAAGGATAATGACTAAATACACTTACATTACCTTGATGATAATTGATCAAAGCTATTTATGCATGAACAATTTTATCTTCATTATCCCCATGTCTTAAAAGTATATTTGTTTTATTTTAAAATTAGCTTACTTTACTTTGACATTCATAAAGTATGTTTACTCAGAGATGATTTATCCACAAGTCATTTGATTTCCTATTGCTCCTCCTATTTTTCCCGAAAAATATGTTTGCTATTTTATTTTTGTGACTATGTTCCCTGTAGCCATTTTTAGTTCCAAAGAATTTTAATGTTTAAAATTAAGTAAATGTACACAAGCATTATTTCTACTTTGAGACAAAGGGACATAGAGTACAAAAATGATGCAGGCACTGAAGTCCATGAACTGATTTCACTTTAACAGTAGATTATGTTTCTCATTCCATTTAGAACATTTGGGGGAGGTTTTAAAGATTTCCCATGTCCACCTCACTACAATTCCACTTTGATTGTTCTGTAGTGGAAGTCCAGCAGTAGTAGATTTTAAAAGTTCCTTAGGTGATGATATTATGCGCTAAAGGTTTCAAACCACTGACCTAACATACTCCCCAAATAGTCATGAGACCAGCTCTATCAGGTAACTTCTCTAACCCAAGTGATTGTTTGTTTGTTTTATGTTGGTTTGCTCTTATTTGTTTTGTGCCATTTTTAGAATAGTAAGTGTTCATAACACAACCTGTGAAGTTCCTTTTCCCACTAGCATAAAATAATCAACAAGTCATTGCTCTCTCCTACCTCTTTTGGTCTTAAGTGTGATTTGCTTAATGAACTGATAACTATTTTTGTCATTAGGGGTTGTTAACTCTCCAGAATATCATTTTATGAGCATAATGAAATAAATTATCATGTCTACTGTCTAAAAAGCTAATTGTTAGTTTACTTCAACACTGTTTTAATGTAATAGTAGTGTTGTAAGTGCAGCTGCTTTCAGTTGAATAAAATAAGCTATTAGTTAAAACAGGCATATCAAATCTATTAATTTTCTGATTGTTGACAAACTCTCATGCCAAAATATCATTGACAGAGGAAATAGTCTTTAAAATATTTAACTGAAGTGTCATACAGTTTCAAGAATGTGGATCAATTTGCATGAGCTAAGTCAAATAGTATGCAAAGTATAATCTTAGAACAGAAAACTGTTTATCAAAACAGGTTTTTAAATAAGAACTGCTTTGTATAAGACAATTAAAAACATATTTGATAAGATATGAAACTGAAACTTTGTATCCTTTGAAACACAGTGTTTTTAAAAATATGTATCCCTCAATGTAAAATGCACTCTCCAACTTCTCTACCCTGGGCTCATTTTCTGTACCTCTGTTCAAGGGTCATTTAATCATGGAAACCTTACGTACCTCTCAGGTTACTCTTCCAATTGCCATATATTTTCTCTTTTTTTTCCCTTTGGTTATAGACTTCCACGAAAGGCTTTTTCTTGTTATAGGAACAATTTATTTCAGTTTACAATAATGTACATATCATTGTATGTGCCCAATAATTCCCCTCCAAAAAATAGATCTATAAGAGTAGGGAATAGCTCTAGTTTTCTTCATGACTGTGTATCTGTGCACCAAGGAAAATCCCTGGAATTGGCGTTAAGCATATGCTTATTGAAGGAACAAATCAGAGAGCACAAGTATTAAATGCATTTTTACATTATTTTGTGTTTTGAGATACAAAATATTTTATGTAATTAGAAAATTAATACATACCTAATAAACTTTGAAGCGATTTAAGCAAACTTAAAAGCAAATTTAAAATATATTGGATTACCTTTAAATCTGAGTTGCCACACATATTTAAATTGAAGATGATGATAGACTTTAGCTTGGCAAATATCATGGCTGATAGTTCTACAGTAGTATGGGTATAGATGAATCACGCAAACATTCTTCACAAACCAACATGAGTATCTTGTGCACTCTGAAGTGCATACATACTAGAAAAGAAAGTAATGCAAAATGATATACACCTTATTGAAATATGTTTTAAAAGTATTTTGCTTTCAAAATATACAGCTAATTTCTAAAAGTACCAATTAAAGTTTATGACAGCTTTTATAACATTTTTTGCTTATTTCTTCTATTAAGTCTCTTCCTGTATCATATTTCATCATATTCATGTTCAAAATGACTATGTGACAATCTTTTGGCTGGATTGACCCATTCCTCAATCTACAACAGTCTCTTACACTCTGTTTTCTGGAATGTGTGTGAGTGTGTATATATATATATATATATATCATCATATATATGTCTTCTAGCTGCATGATAGCCTGAGTTTTTGTACTGTTCAGCATACAGCCTGATGGGGGGACAGACACCATGACCATCCAGGGATCCCATGGTGGCCAGAAGGAGTCTCTGACCAGCAGGGCACCATGATGTACTCTGATCAAATGCCAGGGGTCATATAGATTCAAAACAGGCATGCCAACTACTCTTCCCTGATTCCATAGCTTTGTACATGACTCAGTGCATGCCCTAGCCCAGAATTGTTCCTCCAACAACTGTCCCCAATACAGCCACAGCATCTGGAGCATCAGGCCAGTCAGTGACTCTGGAGAAGCCCAGGACTCCCTTAACTGAAGGCACACCACAGTACCAAGAGAAGCCCCACATAGTGCTCACACCTTCTCCAGAAGAAAGCCAATTGGCAGAAAGAGCACAGTGATTACCCATTTCCTGAGATCTACTTGTTCAGTTTCCACACAGACCTAAGTTAATTGGTTCTTTTCTCTGAAGAGGTCACAATTTCTTGGTATATGCATACGCATATATGTATGTTACACCTTAAAGTAACCATGTTAAGACACACTATAAAGCACACGTTAACCAATAGGATTAACACAATGAATTGCTAAAGTACTGTTTGAATTTGTTGGGTTTTTAAATTTTTCAATATAATTTGAAAAAATTTTAATATAATTAAAGCACATTTTCTAATAATATAATTTGTCTATGGTAATCCCTATTCTCTTCAAAGACTCCAATTCATATATGGTTACATCCACAGTGAAATCAATAAAATTTATATAATTTCAAGTCACGCTCAAGACATGCTACTTTATTGAGGTTTTAGAATGAGATATACCAGTAAGATAAATGTAAGCCCTAGAGGCAGACTACTAGTATATATTCTGTTTAGAGCACACTCTAGTTTAATAGCTACTTCTCCAAGCTTTCAATGAGCAAATCCCCATAAATTGGCAAAGGGAAGAACAGCTGATTCATGGAGCACAAAGAATCATAAACATCTGTAATTTCCTTTAATGCAATTGCTACACTAAGTTATCTTTGTATTCATGGTTTCAAGTCATGATGACATTTACCTAGATTTATAATATAATTTCCTATTAGCTAGACAAAGTATGAAACTTAAAGTATAAGTGTCTATAATGATTAATAAATAGCCATATCACTAACTGGAATCAACACTAAAAATGAGAAATAACATGAAAAAATTAATTAAGGAAATGCAGTCATTCTGAATTTGCATGGACATGGTTACTAATAGAATATTAAAATTAAAATACTATTTTCTTAATTCTCATAGTCTTAAATAGAAAGATAGTTTAATGATTCAGAAAAATTTGTATCACTGAATCAGTGCCTTTTTAATACTCAGTTACTCTAAAGTAACCTTTTTTTTACAATGAAGTTTATTTCCAGTAGAATGAATGTTCCTTTCTGACATTAAGTTATCTAAAATTCCATAGTGACCTCAGATGACATGGTAGTATTAATGTTTCTCATCAATGTTATTTGGTCCCATGAGCATTAAAAAACATTCACATGGAAATGCTCACTTACCTATTTTATTTTTTAATTTCTCCAAATTAACATGAGGAATTAACACTTTAAAATAATCCTTATTTTTTAAAAATATATTTTTAATGTTTATTTTTGAGAGAGAGAGGGAGAGACAGAGGGTGAGAGGAGGCAGAGCAGAGAAAGAGGGAGACACAGAATCTGAAGCAGGCTCTAGGCTCCAGGCTATCAGTATAGGGCCCGATGTGGGGCTTGAACCCACAAACTGAGATAATGATCTGAGCTGAAGCCAGATGCTCCACCAACTGAGCCACCCAGCCACCCTAATAATGCTCAGTTTTAATATTCCTTCTCATTGAACTCATTATAAGTTAACAAATATTTATAAGAAAATATTTGGCAGTCTGGAAATAGATTTCAAAAATTATACAATTCAAACTTCATCTATGTAATAGAAACATGACTATTTTATATAAAATGGGTTAACCTGTTGTGTTAGAGTGGATTTAGGGTGACCAATTCAACTGTTTCCCTGGGACTTTACTTTTTTAGCACTGGAATTCCTGTGTCCAGTGAAGACACTCAGTCCTATACAAACTGGAATGGTTAGTTGCCCTAAGTAGATTATATATTCAAAGTATTATTCCTGAGATGAAAGAGAATGAGGAACAGAGCTACATCTGGCATATGTTGAGAGAAATTATCTTCTGTTGTTTTAGAACTCTGATATGTGTGTGTACGCACCTGTGGGTTTGTGGGGGTTAATTACCAGAGCATGCCCTACTTAACACACTTATCAAAAGTTTCCTCCATCTAGATAGAGGTGAGACCAAACTCATTTTCTGAGGATTTTTAAAATGTGAAATATCCATCAACTGTATTAAATTTGCACTTATCCTATAAAATACGTCACTCCTATTTCTGTAAGAAAATTAATATTACATTTATTTAAACAGTAGGTGTTTGTAAATTGCTAACAAAATATATAGAGAATATATCAGTGTCAATTTACCCTGTTCTTGACTGACCAGTTAATATATATAAAATTTGAAAACAGCAAAACATTCAGCATTTGTGCTGCTTCTTTTGAAAGTGAGTGAGGTGCCAGGGGGCGGGGATATACAGACATGAATTTGGAAATGAACTTCTATCTTACTGCTGACAGTGAACTAATTAACTGGCACATATTAGAAAACTAAACTTGAACTGACTTTGAACTTCAATAAGCTTGTGAGAGCATAATTTTGGTAAGCAAACAGTGAAATTAAAACAATCATGAAATAGTTTCACAATGACAGTAAAATGAAGCAAGAGAATCAAGGGAATTGTCCATAAAATGAAAAGCAATCTACTTTTTTGCATCACATGTTAGTATATGTTACATCAGAAAGGAGCAAATTTTGCAGTACCAAAGTTTTGTGACTTTTATTTGACTGACACAAAATACATATTCATAACAATTTTATAATCCTAACCAACTGATTTAGCATTTCATATATCAAATGTATTTGATGATGCTTTCCTTAAGGCTCTTTTTTTTTTTATAAGGGAGACTGATCTTGATTGATAGTATGAAGAAGCTTTAAAAACAACTCTTGATGTTGATTTCTTATTTTAACAGCCACATTTCTTAGGCAAGATAATGATTTCTTTTAGGTGTTTTGCTTCTCTTGCTGTATTAAATATCTTACAGTTCTCTCTTTCAAAGAAACTATATCCCTAAATCATGCCTTATATGTATGACTACAACATCTATATTGCTTTATGATTCTATACATATTTATCTTAAACATTTACCAATTTTTATAAACTGTATAAGAATATGTAGACATGTTTTTACCTTTTATATAATAAAGATATTAATAATGGGGATAAGGGATACTCCACCTTTCTCTTTAGCTCTGTGTGTGTGTGTGTGTGTGTGTGTGTGTGTGTGTGTGTGTGACACAGAGAGAGGGATAGAGAGGGAGAGAATTTTATCATACATATCAACTTTATAGCTATTCAAATGAGTTAAAAAGCATTATCTTTTTAAATTAATTTCATTTGAGTACTCAATAGCATTAATAGAGTAAGTCTTGTGTTCTATACTTCAGATCAAAAGACAACTAAGAGGTTTTGTTTGTTTTAAGTTCATACATCTTGATTTTCACAATGCTAGGACATAAACCTACATACTTGTGTCTCGAACCCCATCATCTTTTACTTTACTTTTGTTTTTTTTTCTTTACATGTTGGTAGAAGTGATATTGGTGCAATTCTTAACTGACTCACACAACATAGACAATATCATAAAACTTTGAAGTACAGGATCTTAAAAATCTGAAGTTTTCTTGTTTTTGTGACCCTCTCCTCCAATTTCTATTTCTTTTTCACTCATCCTCCTTGAGCTACTACTAGTAAGTCATTAACATTTTATTTATTTGTAAAATATCTTATTCTACCTGACTTAAAGAAATTTAATGATTTTTGAAAGAGCAATGATGAATTCACAAGGAAAAAATAAGAAAATATCCAACAATATACTTCATACAAGAGACTTAACATAGTTTTAAGAACACATATAAACAGAGTGAAGGGATAGAAAAAATATATTTCAATCAATTGGTAACCAAACGATAGCAGGGATAGCTATATCAGACAACATAGACTTTAACAAAAATGGTCAAAAAGGATAAAGATGGTTACTATATAATAATAAAGGAGTCAATCCATCAAGAAGATAGAGCATCTGTAAATATTTATGCACCCAACATTGAAGTACCCAAATACATAAAGCACATGCTAAAAGAACTAAAGTGAGAAATAAAAAGCAATACAATAATACATGGGACCATTAATAGCTCATTCTAAACAATGGATAGATCCATTCAGAGAATTTATAAAAAAGAACAGATTTGATCCAAACTATAGGCCAAATGGATCTAAGAGAATATTTCATCCAATAGCAGCAAAACACAGATTCTTCAAAGTGCACATGGAATGCTTTCTACGATAGATCATATGTTAGGCTACAATACGAGTCTAAGTCAAGAAGAATATATCAAGTATCTTTGCTAACCACAATTGTATAAAACTACAAATCAGTAATAGAAGGAAAGCTGAAAAATATATAAATATATGGAAGTTAAATAACACAACAATGGATAAAAAATAAAACAGAATAAAA